AGCAGCAGACCCAGTAGTTTGAACACACTTTGCCTTCTGCGTTCCACACGTGTCAAGCAGGGTATCAATGTATGAGGGCGACATTGACACATCAGTGGAATTGCCATTGTGCTTCAGTCTTCCACCTAGGAAGCTGTGCTCACTTCCTTCGGTCAATTCTCCATGACCTTCAGAAGCACTTTGTTCGACAATTCCTTGAAGATGCTTCACGCGTTTCCTTGCTACCACAAAATCATTAGATCATTGACGTACGCAAGGATGCACAACTCACCACTCTCACGCACGTACAAGTTTGGGTCACTCTTGCACCGCTTGCATTTCATTACGCGCATTACATCGGCGAGACGTTCCTGCCACAATCTCGGTGACTGCTTTAACCCGTACATTGCACGTTTCAACTCCCAGAAGCAAACGCCATTTGGATAAAACTCAGAAAGGCGGCCAGACAAAGATATCTTCCGAAATCAATCGCACAGTGTGACAGCCCAATTTCTTGCCAACGACACTGCAAGAAGGATTCTTATTGTTACCAGTGACGGAGTCGAGGCAAACAATGCATCATCATCCATCTTGGCAGTGTCTTGTAAACAACCGCGCGCAACAAATCGACATCTAAGTTCAGTGTCAGTTTTCCAGACTTCCACCCAGCGACGATCCAACGCATTGTCAATCTGTTCTTGAGAGCATTGAGCAGTTGGGACCTCATCGTAAAAATCAAAGCTCTTCATTGCAGTTGGGGCCTCATCATAAACATCAAAGCTTTTCATTGATCCCATTTCTTTCATCATTCTATCCCAGAGATATGGTTTCGCCAGTCGCACTTCCTGCTCAAGCCAGGCTCTGCATTCACACACACACACATCGACTTCATCTCCATTCTTCGCGACCGCCATGAAATGCAGCAGTGCACCAATCCAATTTCCTACAGCTGACAAACTCGCATGCGTCGAGCTCGGTTCAGTTGCGGGGATGTCAAGATCAATCCGCCGCGACTTAGCGGGAGTCTCACTCGCGGATCCTTCTGCATTCCGCTTTAACTCTTCACGTCTCGACATTGCATTTAGTTTCAGGCGCTCGGGATTCACTCCCGACCTTCTCAGGCAAGTCGTCGAGAGAGTCATTCTCGTCAACACGCTGCTGTGGTTGGGCAGTCCTGGAGGAGCACGAACCTTTTTCCAGTAACACTCAAGTCAGGTGGCAACGCAAGTAGTTTCTTCATGACTCGACTTGGGCTGCCATGGAACAGCAGTCAACTTGCCAAGTTATCCGACATTCCACTGCTGAGATGGAGGTTTCCGCCTCAGTGAACAGATCTTAAACACTCCTTCTGCAGCGCCGACGATCGGCTCATCGGCCTCAGTGTCTTTGCCCAGCCATGACACTGAACCTTTGGGGCAGTCTGACACTGCTCTTCACATAGTTGGCATCAACAGTTAAACATGCACAGTGGACCTTGGTAGTCCTTGGCTCACAGCCTTGCATAGGCAGTTTTTCCGTCGCTGCCAATCAAATATCGATCAAGGAGCCATTGGGCATGTTTCACTGACCAAACGAACAGCCGCGACTCACTCGAAACACTCATGCCTGACGCAGCCTCCATCTGCAACATCAATGGCGTGGCTACACTGCGCTTGTGCCACTGGACCGCCCAGCCCATGATGAGATTGAGCAAGTCACTGAAGACAGGAATGCGATCAAGCCGCGAATGCTGAAAGCTCCTGGAGAGCCCACTGAGAGTGAGAGGCGTCTCCATGAGCTGACGCGCCTGCCGCCTGCCTTTCAGATCGTGGCGCCGGCGCTTGAAAGCGAAAGGAAGGCAGACTGCGACAATTCGCAAGAATGATCGCCAACCAATGATTCAGATTGACTTTGCCTCGTGTCGACTGAGAATGACTTGCCGAAAAGAACAATTTTAATTTTCAATGCCACGGACACACAGACTGGTTATGGAATGTCTTGATCCCAGACCCAGACTCATTCTTGGGTCGCATTCCTTGATTGAGCCATCTGGCAGCACTTCGTCAATCCAGATTGCCTGACATTTGACTTGCATGTCAATGGAAACTCCGCTCGACCACGCCGTGCGTTGAAATCAGTCACTCTGGCATTCTGCGACGTCAGAAAATTCTTGTCACGCAATGTAACATTCGATCCATCACCATACTCCTTGCAGGTAATTCTTTCTCCTGTCAGTCGCTTCAATGGGACAGGCATTGCCGAACCCTTTTTTTCTCCAACTCTTCACACGCTGAATCAGTCTCGAATTAGGTTCATCCAACGTCCATTCATCTATTGGACCACTGCCAACCTTTCCAGCTTTGGCAGTGTTAGCTGCTGCAATCATCATGCCAATTTCCTGCAAGTGATCAATCGAGGGATCAAAACAATCACAAACGCCAGACAACTTCAGCGTTGACATGTCTTGCTCCAATCAGCGGTTTTTTTGCAAAGGTGTGGCTCGGGATTTTTTGGGCAAAGGTGTGACTTGCTCCTTTTTGGTCTTCGAACGCTCCAAATGCTTTAAACTACAGCATTCGCTCGTTTTGGAAAGTGTCAAATGCTGTAAATTACACCATTTGCCGGTCTTGGAACGTTTCAAACGCTGCAAATGACAGCATTTGCTGGACTTCAAACGTGTTAAACGCTACAAATCACACTGTTTGCTGGAATTGGCACGTCTCAAATGCTGCAAATTACAGCATTTGCTGGTCTTGCAACATGTCAAACGCTGCAAAATTATAGCATTTGCTGGTTTTGGAACGATTCAAACGCTGTAAATTAGTCTCTGCTGGTCTTGGAACACTTCAAACGCTGTAACTGACAGCGTCTGCTGGCCTTGGAAAGTTTTACATGCTTTAATTTACAACATACGCCGGTCTTGCAAGGTTCCACCCCTTGAACTAGTTCCCTGGCACAACAGTGGGCGTTTGGAATTGAGGGCACGAATAAGCCTTAGGTGCGGGCTTGGTGTTTCCAGCTTACTTGGAGCTGAAGAAGAATCACCATACCATTGCAGATTCTATAGGAGCTATCTTTAAAATCCATTCCCTGCTTACAGTGAGAACTTGCTTTAGGATATACTCTGAAAATATCGGGCGGCGAACAACGTAAGCCGCACAACCTTCCCTGGCTACAAACCTAGTGATGGCATGATGCTTCTTTGTTATTGCAGACATGGATGGCTTTGAAACAGCGGGGGGATTGGGGCCCCATTTGCAGATATAATGATCCACGCAAGCTTCCTTTCCTGCAAACATGGTGATGACATGATGTTTCTTCTTGATTGGAAGCATGGATGCCTTTAAAGCAGCGGGGGGGTTGCGGGGGGCACAGCGCCCCCCCTCCCCCCGTTTGCAAACATAATGATCCGCACAACTTTCCTTTCCTGCAAACATGGTGATGACATGATGCTTCTTCTTTATTGGAAGCATGGATGGCTTAAAAACAAGGGCGGTTCCCGGGGCGCAGCCCCCCTCATTTGCACACAAAATGATCCGCATAGCCCTCCCTCACTGCAAACGTGGTGATGGCACGCTGGTTTGTCTTTATTGGAAGCATGGGTGGCCTCTTGGCGACCCCCACGATACTGGAGACTGCTGACATGCTTCAAACTCCAGGATGCGAGGGTCTAAAATAAAAGCGATGTCCCTTAAATGCTGCGAGGACTAGTGGGGATGGAGGAAATCTTGCGCCATCTTGTATAGCAAGAATGGGCATTACGACCTTCTGGGATGTCTAAGTGATGCAAAATCTAGGATCATAGCACCAGAGAGTCACAGGACCAGAGGACCACAAGACCCGAGGAGCAGAGGACCTGAGGTCCAAAGGACCACACGACCAGAGGCATGGGGCCAGAGGACCGGAACTGCCTAGATCCTGGGAGCGGCGTTTACACTTGCTCTTTGCAACTCATTTAGCAAATCTTTGACGCTTAATTGTTAAGTTGAAATGTTTCAAAATACAGCATTTGCTAGTCTTGGAACGTGTCAAACGCTGCAAATTACAGCATTTGCTGGCGTTGGAATGCTCAAACGCTGTCAGTGGTCTTGGAACATCCCAGATGCTGCAAATTACAGTATTTCAAAAGGACGGGGGGGGCCACAGGACCAGAGGACTATGAGACCAGATGGCCACGGGACCAGAGGACCACAGGACCAAGGGACCAGAGCCACACCAGGACCGAGCCACACCTTTGCAAAAAAAAAACCTGGACCTGCGCCAATCCTGCCAACAAATCAGGCAAGCAGTCTGTGGCAAGTTTAGCTGTAGTAACAACATTGTATGGAATGACAGACGGTGTCAAGCACACCAATATTCCTTGGCGAACAATCGGTGCAGGATTCCCATCAGGATCAACCAGCGCCATGTAATCCTTTGACATGACAATCCAAAAATCCTGCAATAGGAACCTCACTGCAGTTACCAATGGGAACGGGATTCCTTGACACACATAAAACTGAACACTAAAGGAGTCAAGGAGTGGCCATTCCGACAATCAAGCTGGACCATCCTTCGACCAAGCACTTCAAGTGTCTTTCCAAACAACCTCTTCAACTTTGGGGATTCCTCCTTCAGAGGCGCACTTGGATAGTCAGACGCAAACCGTTCCGGACAACAACTAGCACAAGCTCCACCGTTAAACAAAATCCCTGAACGATCTGTCAGTCCAGCTTGCATGTGAAACTCACTCAACTTGTCACCCAACAATGTCAGTATCTTTTGCAGCACCAGTCTGGGCATTCGCCAATGTTGGCAACTCATCAGGCACAACAGTCCTTGCACCCAATGTTGCAACCAGTAAACATGCTCCAACAAAAAAGTTTGTTGACAATCCAGGCTTCGCACCACGAACAGTCCTGACACGCTGTCCAGTCGTCATTGAACCAGATCCAAGATCATTCTGAGAAACGCTCGAAGAAATAATCTCAGGACTAGGATCAGTAACTAAGGCGGCCACGCTCTGTTGAGCACCCAGCTCTCCTTCATTCCAACTTTGCCAACTATCCATCATCATTCCATGACCAATCATCGACTGAACCAATACGTTCACTCCATCCGGACTCATCATAAGAGTCATCATACCGTGACCAATCATCTGACCAGTCTTCTGTCTGTCCATTCTCTCCGCTCTCATTCTCTCTGGTGAGCGCACTCATGTTTTTGGCCTGAGGGCATTCCATACTCAAATGTGAGTTGCTGGGCTTTACCATTTTCTTTGCCTTTCTTTCCTTTGCCTTCGCGCCCTGCCATTCCTCTACTTTTTTCCTTTTCCTTGGCTCTTTCCTTCATGTTTCCTTACGGTCATTCCTTTTCCATCTTATTCCTTTCCATCCTTTATCTTTACCTTTCAGTGCTCCGATGTCCATTGGAGCAGCTCCTTGGCTGGATGCATGCGCAGTGATAGGCGCAGTCGAGTCAGTCAAATGCTTGCTTTTAGTGTAGGCATACACAATGTCCAGTGAGTGTTGGAACGTGGTCACTGATCGAATGTGCAATCTCAAATGCTGTTGCAGTGGGCCAGTTGCCTTCTGCATAAGCAATGTAATCAACAGATCATCATCAATCGGCCTACCACTCCTCTTCTCAGGTCTGCTCTTCACGATCAGAAAGTCATTCAAGTCACCCTCAAGGTGATCAGGGCGTAATCCAAATGACAGTATCTCATTCAATAAGCGCGTGTCCTTGGCACGCTCTGGCAGTGCCAGCTGAGCACCCACTCTCCGCCAAATATGAAAGCCGTTTTCAGTGTCTTCGCATCGAACAATCGCTCTGGCTGAACCATCAGTGATTTGGGCCAGTAGATATGCCAATTGTCGCGACAATAATGGAAGCTCATTTCTGCCATTTCTCTGGTGATGGTCATGCTCTTGACACAGCTCATCCGTGATCTTTTTGGGGGTCTTCTCAGCCTCATCCATTAGCACTTTAGCCGGTGGCTTGTACAGTCCTACACACCGCTTCAATCGCCAACTCCCATCTTCCTACTTGTCAATCTAACCATTATAGGTGGGAGGTGGAAACAGTTTCATTTCACCTCCAAATGACTTCACTCCAAAGACCATTCTGGACTCAGTGGACAAAGCACTGAATCTTTCCGTGCTCCGCTACCATGTGAAGTTCGATCAATATGCACAACCTATATGACCAACCTAACCACAATACATTCTGATCAACCCATCACTCTCCACAGTCTACAGCAAGCTTGATCAATCCTTTGTGCATTCGCGGTGACAGCAATCCAGTCTTGAGCCAACAACCACTTGGTGTCATTCAGTATGTTCACCATGTGGCATACATTCCAGGTCAATGTGAGAACAGTGTCATCTACCACCACCACCGCCGCCGCCGCCGCCGCCGCCAAGGC